TTTTTTTTTTTTGTCAGATTCAAAAAGCACTCGGGTGCAAAAACAACCCATTAGCATATGACATTACTGCTGCCTGCAGTGGTTTCGTGTTGGGCCTAGTTTCAGCTGCTTGCTACATTAGAGGTATAACATCTTAATCCTATGCTGCAATGTAGATTGGTTATAACCATCTTAAATCTTTGTATTGTGACTTAAAAATAAAAATAAAAAATTCTTATACTTGATATAATTTAGGGGGTGGCTTTAACAATGTTTTGGTGATTGGGGCTGATGCTTTATCTCGCTATGTTGATTGGACTGATCGAGGATCGTGCATCCTCTTTGGTGATGCTGCTGGTGCCGTATTAGTACAGGTACAGTACATAGAAACTAGTAAGAATTATTATATTGTATTCTTTTTGCAATTTTTGGGTTTTTCTTTTTCTTTCCTAAGCTCTTATGTTCATTCCTTTTTTTTTTTCTGCAGGCATGCAACAGCGAAGAGGATGGTTTATTTGCCTTTGATATGCACAGTGATGGTGAAGGGCAGAGGTACTGGTCGACATTTCTTCATTATACTCTAATCTATGCCTATCTCTAACAGGCATTAATCTCTATATTTTTTTATTTTTTTTTTTCAAAATCATTTGCAGACATTTGAAAGCTAACATAAAGGAGAATGAAAAAGATCACGACTTAGGCACAAATGGCTCACTCCTTGGGGTTCTACCAAAAGACACGTCATACTCGTGCATCCAAATGAACGGGAAAGAGGTCTTCCGTTTTGCTGTTCGTGTGGTCCCACAGTCAATCGAGTTGGCTTTAGAGAAGGCGGGCCTAAGTAGATCCAGTATAGATTGGTTACTTCTTCACCAGGTAAATTAAATATGACTTCTTCTTTTTCTCACAAATGAGCTTAGTAGTTAAAAGTAATGTTGAAATTTGCCTCCTTACCAAGAAAAGAAAAAGGGATTTTTTTTTTTTTTTACCAATTTTCCACCGCACTTTAAGTTAGAAAACCTCATACGGTGAGGTATCTGTATAATAACTGCAGGCAAACCAAAGAATTATCGATTCTGTAGCCACTCGGCTAGAAATCCCAGCCGAACGAGTCATATCAAACCTGGCAAATTATGGCAATACAAGTGCTGCATCAATCCCTTTGGCGTTAGACG